ACCCAAAATATTAAATATTACATTAAGTTTTCAAAAAAAAATCACCCAAAAAGTGAAATTATATCAAGAAAACACAAACATACAATTTTAAATCAAGTTGAGAATTTTGTATTTTTTTAAAAGAAAATTGACCTGTTTGAGCCTTTTTGTCAAAACAAAATATTTTCAGTTTTAATAAATACAGGGTGCGTCAGAAGTCGCGCCCCAGAGAGGTAAGATACCAGGTACATGGGAAAAATGTTAAAAAAAATTCTACTTATACAAATTTCGAACTTATGAGATTTTAAATTTTACACTTTGACTATTTATTTCTATTGGAAAAATAATTTTACATGTTTTTTTGCTGTGGGGTATTAGAAGAGGAAACAGTAAGGAAGCCGTATTCTAAATTGTAGCTCTGTTTAATGTTATTTGTGGCTTTTATTGGCAAAATTTTTGTTTGTTTTACTAATAATAATTATAAATAAATAAAAAAACATACCAGGTGAATAAAAAATATGGAACGAAGCGTTTTTCTCGTAAACTAACCACTTTACAAAAAAATAATTAGTGTATCGTAAAGTCCAATTAAAATGTGACCATTTATCAAGAATAACATTTTTCGAAATTTTTTTTAGTTTTCGAGTTCTGTAAAAAAAATTTTTTTTAAATGGCAACCCACTATGGTAATTTTTTTAATTAAAGAATATGATCTAAAAATGACCTCTAATTAAACAGAATTGTTGTCTAGTCAGTACTTTTTTTAATAAATTGTTAAAGTTGCGTTCCGAGCCCATCACGAAGATTTTCCGAACTTGAACGAGGGAGTCGTTTCATGACTTTGGTCGTTGGAGAGCCCGGTTTTTGGTACAGGTGCTTTGGGGTGGTTCCGGATGGATCAAAAAATGTAAAAACAAATCATTTGCTTCTATTTTTAGTCCATTCGAAACCACCCCAAAGCACCTGCATAGAAATCAGCACTCTCCCATGATGAAAAGCATGAAACAACCACTTCGGTTAAGTTCGGAAAATCTTCGTGATGAGCTCGGAACGTAACTTTAACAATTAATTAAAAAAAATGTACTGGCTAAAAAACAATTTTATTTAATTAAAGGTCATTTTTAGATCATAATCTTTAATTAAAAAAATTATCATGGTGGGTTGCCATTTAAAAAAAAATTTTTTTTCTAAAACCCGAAAACTAAAGAAATTTCGAAAAATGTTATTCTTGATAAATGGTCACATTTTAATTGGACTTTACGCTACACTAATTATTTTTTTTTGTAAAGTTGTTAGTTTACGAGAAAAACGCTTCGTTCCATACTTTTTATTCACCTGGTATATTAGATCATCAGTATCATTAAATAGACATAGAAAATGTTAAATGTCAAAAAATAAATGTCAAAATTTTTTGACAGATATAATTTTTTATACATTTTTTCTTTGTTCCTGGTATCTTATCTTAGGTACTTGAAATTTTGTCTGTAGCGCGGATAATGACACACCCTGTATAATTTTGCCGTTCACTGTATAAATATCTATTAGCAACAAAGCAACAAAAAAATAAAAGAACTAAAACTGAATGGATTTCTGCTTTTAAAATGCATCAGGACCCCATTCAAGCTTTTTCACGGACCAAAGCACTGTAAAAGCTCTCTCTGTAATTCGGATTGCATGTTGCATTGAAATTGATTCTTGTGATTATTAACTTAACTAAAGGAGATCGCTGCCTAATTATTTTATTCACGTTTCAAATTTTTTGTTTTGTTTTGGTTGTTCAAAATGACATAAATTCACCACTGATTTCTCCATTCAACACGCATTGGAGTGCGCTTTTCAGCCGTCTCTCCCTTAATTAACGAAGCTTCCGCATTTCCACCCCCAATCTAACCTGTCACTGCCACACTTTCTCATTTTTTTTAAGATCGGCGCCTACTGCTACGCCGAACTCGGCACCATGATCAGGAAAAGCGGCGCTGATTACGCCTACATCATGGAAACCTTCGGCCCTTTCCTCGCATTCATCCGATTATGGATCGAATGTATGATAGTAAGGCCTTGTTCTCAAGCAATAGTAGCCTTAACTTTCAGCGTTTACGTCATGAAACCCTTCTTTCCTGAATGTCAACCACCTGAAGATGCCGCACGTTTACTCGCCGTTTGTTGCATCTGTAAGTATATAACGATGTAATTGTTTAATGTGGGCTTTATTGGACTATAAATATCACGAGAAGTTTAATGAAGCACTAAGCTAAATCCGTCTTGAGCTTTGATTGCCTCTAATTGGAGCAGAAAATAAGACTTGCTTGATTTCCCACGAGGGCAATTAGAAAAACAGAAATTAAATTGGCAACATTGTATTTAGTATACAGACTTCGAAAGCTACCGCGTGATTAAATGATTGTAATTTCGTCAAGTAGGTCTTGAAAGTTTAAATTGGCAACATTGGCTATCAAACTCAAACGTCACAATTTTATAATCGATTGTCATTCATTGTCAGAATCATTGTCACTTAACAGAATCAAAAACATACAATAATTCAGTGTTGCTAATAAATTTAAATTTAAATTATAAACATTACCAAGTTAATTTCAAAGTTACAGGCTACTATGGCAATTTAAAAAATAGAAATAAATTAACAATGTTCAATTTAGTGGAGACATCAAAAGCTACGGCGTGATTAAAAAGTTGGCGATTTGGCAAGAAAACCATGAAATCTTAAATTGGCAATATTGACGATAAAATTTAGACGTTACAATTTTATATTTGCAATGCGGTCGTTGGCATAACCGTCGTCTAAAAAAATCGAAAACATGAGTACAATAATTAATTGTTACCAATTTAAATTATTGACGTTGCCAACTTAATTTTATAATAACAAGCTACTATACAGGGTGCGCCAGAACTCGCCCCCCAGAGAAAAATGCCATATAAGGTAAGATACCAGGAACATGGAAAAAATGTTAAAAAAATTATATCTATAAAAATTTCGAAGTTATGAGGGTTTAAATTTTGCACTTTGACTATATTTATTTCTGTTGGAAAAATAATTTTCCAAATTTTTTTGCTATAGGCTATTAAAAGAGGAAACAAAGAAGCTGTATCCTAAATTGGAACTCTGTTCAATGTTATTTGTGGCTTTTATTAGCAAAATTTTTGTACCTTTACAAAATAATTGTAAAAAAACATATACAAGATCATCAGTATCATTAAATAGACATAAAAAAATGTCAAATGTCAAAAAATATGTGGCAAAATTTTTTGACAGATAGAATTTTTTAAACATTTTTTTCATGTTCCTAGTATCTTACCTTACTTGAAAATTTTCTCTGGGGCGCGAGTTCTGGCGCACCCTGTATATGCAAGAATATGCTTGATTTCTTATGAGGACAATTAGAAAAACAAAAATTAAATTGGCAACATTGACTATCAAATTCAAATGTCATAATATTATAATTGCAAAGCTAGCCGTTGACATAGCCCTCGTCTAAAAGAATCAAAAGCACATTTAGTATAGAGACTTCAAAAGCCACCGCATGACTAAATGATTGTGATTTTGTCAAGTAGACCATAAAATTTTAAGTTGGCATAAATTCAAATTCAAATTCAAATTTTTAAATAAAAATTGACTTTCTTTAAATTATAAACGTTGCCAACTTAAATTCAGTCACAAACTTCTAGGGCAATTAGAAAAACAGAAATTAAATTGTCAATATTTAATTTAGTGGAAACTAAATGATTGTGTTTTGGCCAGTGTGGACCATAAAATCTTAAATTGGCAACATTGACTATCAAATTCAAATGTCATAATATTATAATTGCAAAGCTAGCCGTTGACATAGCCCTCGTCTAAAAGAATCAAAAGCACAAAATAATTCAGTGTTGCCAATTTTCATTGGCGTTGTCAATTTAATTTCAAAGTCACAAGCTATTATGCAGGAATATGCTTGATTTCCCACGAGAACAATTAGAAAAACAAAAATTAAATAGGCAACATTGTATTTAGTATAGAAACTTCAAAAGCCACCGCGTAACTAAATGATTGTGATTTTGCCAAGCAGCCCATAAAATTTTAAGTAGGCAACATTAGCTATCAAATTCGAACGTCAATTTTATAATTATTTAGAATATTGATATTTAAATATTAATTTTTAAAAGAATTAAAAGCATACAATAATTCAGTGTTGTCAATAAATTTTTATATAAAAATAGACTCTTATTTAAATTAGAAACGTTGCCAATTTAATTTCAGAGTCACAGGCTACTATGGCAATTAGAAAAGCAAAAATATCGTTTTTAGTGGAAACATCAAAAGCTACCTTGACTTGAAATCTTAAATTGGCAACACTGGCTATCAGATTCAAACATCATAATTTTGTATTCACGACGCGACCGTTGAAAGAATCAAAAACATCCATTAACTTAATGTTGCCAATTTAAATTGATTTCCGAGAAGGGAAAAACATTGATGACATTAAATTTAGTGGAGACATCAAAAGCTACCGCGTAACTAAATGATTGTGATTTGGCAAGTAGGTAATGAAATTTTAAATTGGCAACATTGACTATTAAATTCAAACGTCACAATTTTATATTCATCGAGCGGCTTGATAGTCGTCATTTGAAAGAATCAAAAACAACAATTCATTGTTGCCAATTTAAATTATTGACGTTGCCAACTTAATTTCAGAGTCTAGACTACTATGATTAGAAATTTAATGCATGATTACTAATTGTCGTTAGAAACAAAAGAAAAAAAAACAGTTATTTTTTTTTGCTTTTTTAGGTGTTTTAACGTTTGTTAACTGCTACGACGTGAAATGGGCAACCCGCGTGCAGGACGTCTTCACCTACGCCAAGCTTTTGGCCTTGTTCATCATCATAGCCGCCGGGGGGTACCAATTGGCCCAGGGTAGGTCTCTTTGGCGCAATTCTTTGAAAGCATGCTTTGGTTCTTCTGCTCAAACTACTTAGTGATGTTTGTAGTATTGTTTTTGTTATAGAATTTCACTTTTTGAAAGTTTTGATTTTGAAAAAGTGGATTAGGTGAGGATGGCGAGTAGTTTAAAAGGTGGAAGTATCAAAGGGTTGTCTCGGTGAACATCTGCGAGATTTTGCACTTACTATTGCAGGGCACACGGAGCACTTTTCATTCATCAACACAAAGAGCGAAGTTACGTCGTTGGCATTATCATTCTATTCCGGCTTGTTCGCCTACAATGGCTGGTGAGAGAAGAATAAAACCGCAATGAATATAAAGAACAGGAAAATCGGGACGACCTATGAACCCCAAATCGAATTTTGTAACGATTTTCCTGTTCGTCTGTGGTTCAACTGCAATAAAACTGAATACTTGTCACTGCAACCACATTTTTTTAAAACGAATAAATCTATTTTCTCTTATTGCAGGAATTACCTGAATTTTATTATTGAGGAACTCAAGGATCCAGTCAGGTAACCCCACCCCCGTATAAAATAATCAATTTTTTTATTGAATTTTTGCAGAAATCTCCCGCTAGCTATCGCAATTTCGTGCACTTTGGTAACAGTTGTTTATGTTTTGACCAATGTGGCGTTCTACACGACGCTCTCCCCCGCCGAGCTTTTGGGCTCTGAAGCCGTCGCAGTGTCGTTCGCAAATCGACTTTTCGGCCCTTTCGCTTGGACGATTCCTGTTTTTGTGGCTCTGTCGACGTTTGGCGCCGTCAATGGGATTTTGTTGACGTCGTCGCGACTCTTCTATTCGGGGGCTTGTCACGGCCAAATGCCCCAAATTTTGACCATGATACAGGCGCAGAGGGTCACGCCTGCACCTGCGGTGCTCGTTATGGTAAGTTATTGGTGATGGAAACAGGAAAAGCGTTGCGAAATTACGAAAAGTAGACATAGAAAATCGTTTCACTAAAAAAACTATACCAAATTGTGTAAAATAGGGTGACCAAACTTCCTAATTTAGCCAGGACATGTTTGGTTTTATCGTCTTGTCCTGTTTTACGTTTGAGTCCTGATTTGTCCCGATTTAAGAACTATCACATACAGGGTGATCCGTTTTTATTGTTACAAATTTAAACAGGACAAATAGGACAAAAGTTTTTTATAAACATGTATCGAAAAATGCTTGGTAAGGGAGCTACACCCTCTAGAAGGGGGCTAATATGTTTTTGCTAATATTTCAGAAACCATTTAAGATAAAATTACAAAATTTGGTACAGATAATAATCTTTATACACCTAAACGAATTCAAACATCAAATGTCGAAATTTTTAATCAAGGGCGTACGAAACTGGGGGAGTTTAAGGTAAAAAAATACCCTATTTATTTTGGCTTTAGTTTCTCGGTACTTTCACAACAAAGTTCGATAGTTTATCACAGAAAAGTCTCGCTTGTGTCGACAGGACTTAATGTTTTTGAATAAAATTAATTTAAAATTTATGTTACACACCAATACAACATTCAAATAAGTCAGAATTTACAGAATAATAAAAGCAAGAAATTAATATTTTTTAATCAACTTCAACTAATGAACATTACATTACAGTAACAATAATAACATTAATTAAATGAATTTGCCTAAATCTAAAGGAGTTGTTCAAAGTGACCACCATTTTGGTCAATGCATAATTAAAAAAACTAGAGCCAAAATAGATGCCCCTGATTAGAAATTTCGAAATTTGATGTTTGAATTCGTTTGGGTGTATAAAGATTATCATCTGTGCCAAATTTTGTAGTTTTATCTTAAATGGTTTCTGAGATATTAGCAAAAACCTATTAGCCCCCTTTCAGGGGGTGTAGCTCCCTTACCAAGCATTTTTCGATACATGTTTATAGGAAACTTTTGTCTTAGAATTGAATATCCTAACACCTGTTTAAATTTGTAACAATAAAAACGGAACACCCTGTATAAGTGTCCAGTTTTTTGCGATTTTTATTTGTAGCGAAAACAAAGTGTCTTTCAATTTAAAGTTTTCTTTTTGTCGTCAAATTCAACTAAAAGTATAGAAATAGCTACTTAAAAATCTTTTTTAAAATGTTTGCAGAGAATTAAAGAATTCTCAAAGCAATTCATACAGAAAAAAATTAAATTAATTAATTAAATGAAATTGTTTTTGTTTTGTTTTTCATGTAAATATTTTTCATTGTATACTCTTATTATATTGAAATTCTTATACAGATACATTAGTAGGTAAGACCAATTTTTTTGTGTTCTGGAATAAATTTATTATAATTATATTTATTAATGTCCTGAGTTTGAATTTTCTGAACTTGGTCACCTTAGTATAAAATGACATCTAGAAATCAATAACTACGGTAATGATTTGCATTCAAAGTGTGAATACTATCATAAAAAATGCAATTTTTTTAAACAATAAGCGTTTGATTTTTAATAAAACAAAAAAAAATTAATTTTTTATATTGGGCTAGTTTTTAAGTCACAAATCATAGTTAATCATTGCGCCAAAATAAGGCAATTTGAGCTATTTCTAACGGAGTTTTGCTCAATTTTAAGCTAGAAATCATTCTACATCATGTATTTTATCGAAATAAATGCTTAAATCGCTTAAAGGGATTTGAACTAATCTAATCGATTTCATTCTATTTTAAGCCAGAAATCCTTGCAAATCAGTCTATTTTAACAAAATAAATGCTAAGTTGCCGTTTTCAGCTACAATAAATTAATTTGAATTATGCCCAACTCATTTTTGCTCGATTTTAATAGTTGTAAATCAATGCAATTTTCGCGCAAATATAAGTCGATTCGAGCAGATTTTTGCTCGGTTTTAAGCCAGAAATCATTTTGAATCAATGAATTTCAACACAATAAGTGCTCAATTACAGATTTAGGCCAAAATTTGAGCTATTTTCAATGGATTTAGTTTGATTTTAAACCAGAATGTAGTTCAATTAAATAATTGATTAAATCGCCGTTTTCACTCAAAAGAAATTTTTTTGAGCTATTTCCAATCCAGTTTTGATCGATTTTAAG